AGCGAGCGGGCGCAATCCCACCCTTCGAGAAGGTTGTCAGCCCCGAAGAAAGCAGACGCAGGGTTCCTGACCCCTGCCGGGCACGCCCGGGCGCGGAGCGAGGGACCCCTGCGCAGCGCGCCTTGCCACTTGAGGCCCCCGCCCGGAGGAGCCGGCGGGGCTGCTGCGTGAACAGGTGACTTTATTCACTGCTTCCCGAATCGTCGAGGTCCCGGGACTCGTTTTCCGCCTGGAGATTAAGATCATTGCTCGCGTAATGAACTTAATGCTTTAGGGTAGAGGTGAGTGTGTCTGCGAGTGGGCAGGGGTAGGAATTACCGACCCGATCGATGGGAGACTGGCTTAAAACTAAATCCCTTTTCTCCAGGGCTTCACCGCCTGGCTTTCCCCCGCGGTGGGCTGAGAGCGCCTGGCTGACAGGGGGCAGCTAGTGGAGGGGCGACCCCCGGGCGCGGCCAGCGACAACCGAGACCCTAAATGTCCTCCTCTCCCTGCCAAGACCCCCGGGGTACCCGTTTTTAGGGTAAAAGCTCTTAAAAATTCAAATGTTGGCGAACTGATTGCTCAATATGTTGTTTGTTTTTCCTTTCAGCTCCGCCTTGGGAGAGGACGTTACAGACACGTTGGCGGGCAGATTGGGCCAAAAAGTGACACCCCCCCCACCCCGTTCCCCGCCATCTCCCGTAAGGGGCGATCCCCCGCTCTCTCTCCCTCACCGTTCTTTTCCCTGGCTCCGGGATTCCCAACGTAGTGTAGACTGCACCTGGCCACCCTGAGTGCTGCGGCCCGCCTAACAGTCAAGGGGGTGCGGGATGGCACGGAAGAGGGAGATGAAATACGAGGGCAAATGCCGGGCCAGGCGGGGCACACCACTATCCAATTCCACGCCACTCCGCCCGGCGTCCAAGCGCCCACCCGGGAGCTTGAATCAAGTCATGTTTTTACTGCGTTCACGTGGGCCAAGGGCCTGCCGGGATCCTAAAAGGCAAGGGAAAGTTTGCAAAGGCTTTAAAGCGTTCCCGAGGAGCTCCTGCCTAAGGCGTCGGGGTGCTGCCCACGGCCCCCCTACTGCGGCCCCCGACCCTGGCACTCGCGACCCGCCAGGCGGGCGCTGCCCGGGTTCCAAGTGCCCTCCGAGCCCCCAAGCTCTCGGAGTCGCGCTCCCAGCGCCGCGGTGGGACCCGGCAATAGAATCCCCCAAAAAGCCTCTAGTCCACCACAAAGCACACCCGAGCGGTTCTAAGGGAAGGGGGCCCAAAGTGCCCCAGGAGGTGCCTTTCCACAATCTTCTGCACAGACCCGGGTCGTCTCGTCTCCAGAGACAAAGTCAGCAGTCCCCTTACACTTGACTTTCCTCTTGCGGTCGGGAGGAGATAGGAAGCCCCTGGAGATGCCGGAGCCGCCCCCCAAGGTGCCCTAGGCTCTAAGCATAGACCTGTCCTCACAGGCACAGGGTCCAGGCCTGGACGCTGTGCACGGTAGGACGCAGGGGGCAGCGGCGTCCTGGTCTGGACTCCTCGCAGCTGCCGCGGCGGCCCGCGGGAGTTCCTTTCTCGCGCGGAGGCTGGCCCGGCCACCGGCGTCTCGCCTCCCGCCCTGGCCCGCAGACTTGGGGGCGGGGGGGAGGGCGCTGCACACAGCAACCGACCCGGAGCGCAAAATCTGCGTGTCGCGTGGGAGACGCGGGCGGGAGGGGGCGGGTAGGGTTTGCGTTTTTCCTTGTCAGAAGCTTTCTACTTGACTACGAAGTTTCCCGTAGGCGCCTCTGCCGGGGGGTCTGAGCCTCCCACCGCCACTCCTTCCCCTCCCTCCACCCCGCCCCCCGCCGGCCCAGCTAGCCGGAGCCTCAGCCTGGGCCTGGCCGCGCGCTAGGTCCCCCAGGCCGGGACCCCGCGCCCGAGCGCCGCGCCTGCCTCCCCGCCGCCCTCCCCGGGCTCCGCGGGGTTGCTTCTCCCCGGGGCGAAACTCGCCGGCCGGGCGCACAGTGAGAAGACACCCGCTGCCTCCCGAGGAACTCCTAATACCATCCATACAGCTTTAATGCGTTTATAATTCGATAAGTGATTTCAATTTGAAATTGTTAGTAACTAATTTTATGGGTAATTTTTCCACATCAAATATTTAAGCATCAGATTAAGGGAGCCAGTTCCGACACAGGATAATAAGGGGGTTTCCCCCCCTTCCCCCGCGCCTCCGCCTCCCTCCGTTTCCTACCGAGTCGTTTTTCCAAATCCCCAAAAGATGGCAGTCGAAGCCGACATTCTTCTTTTCCTGCGGCTCTGCGAAGGGAGGGGGGGGAGAGGGAGGAAGGAAGAAGGGAGGGCGGAAGGGGGGGCGGAGAGAGACGAAGAGAGAGAAGAAAAGGAGAGGGAGAAACTAGACGTAGCAAGGACTTTTCAAACTAATTCTTTCACACGTTTCTAATACGAGCAAAACAAAAACAAAAACAAAAACAAAAACAGTGGTGAATTTCCTGGCAATGTCCTGGCAGAAAAGAAAGCCAAAAAACGTGCCTTGTAGCCTCAGAGTAGGGGATGTAAGAAACTCTGCACTTTCCAACTAAAACCCTCAACTCAGAGCAGAAGCCAGAGAGGGGAGACCGGGGGAGGGGCAAACTGGCTTCTTTGTATTTTAACATTATATTCAAATACTATACAACTAAGCGACTTGTTCTCTGAAGGACAGGACTCAGCAAATTACTTAATGGGGAGAGAAGAGGTGGGGTGAGGAAAGGTGAGGGGTGGGGGGCGGACTGCTGTGGGCGGAGGGGAGGCTGGGGCCAGCAGCGGATGAATTGCAGACCAGTTGCCAAACTTTTTTTTTTCCCCTGCTGCTGCTGCGGCGGCTGCCTTTGCTGCGCCTTTGCTTTGAATGTGGGTAACTAGGAAACAGCAAGCCGTCTGAGAAGACGGAATTTCCAACGTGTAAAATGTTCTTAACGGAACCATTGAGCGAGTGCAATAAGGCGTGAGGGGGAACTAATCTTCCCATTTAAATGTTTGTGGCAATTTTATCTAAATGAATTTTAATGCTAAACGAGGGTAATTCCCCATTTGTAGCGCGTTTACTTCTCTTTCCTGTGCTTCTAAAGCAGTCGAACATCATGCAATGAACAATAACAATAAAAATACTGTCAAGGCATATTATTCAATTCGAATGTGTTATAATTACAGCTGATTAAATATGATAGGGTAAAATATTTTTAATTTTTTAAAAAATATTTAAATCGTGCTAAAAGGTCTCATTCAACCAGCGGCCCCCCCCCCATAAAAATAAAGAGCAGGTACAATTGTGTGCCCTTGTTCAGAAGAGGGCGTTCTGTTTTTGCCTTTTAAGAAACATCAAAAACACCCTCAGCACCTCTATTCTTTCTTTCTTTCAGATAAGTGTCCTCAATAACCTCCAAGCTGGCTCTGAAATTTACAAGAGGAAAAGCTAAAATCGCATTAAGGGGGAGTGGGGGTGTCCAGGCAAGGGGAGAAAGGATCTGAGGAGAGCAAGGCCCTCACAAAGCCGCCGCACGGAGCAGGGAACACAAGGAAAGAACACAGTTTGTTTTATTTTTTCTAATTCATTGGTCACTAATGATCTTGAATCTTCAGAGTCTCCATATTTCCCGATTCTTCTTCACTTGCACCCTACTCCTCCTCCTGGTGCTCGCCTCTCCCGCCCCCCTTCCCATCTCTCTCTCTCCCTGTCTCCTCCCCTTTCTTCCCCTCCCCCAACCGGCAAGAGCATCGTCAAGAATAAAGGCTGAAAATAACCTACGCACCCAGGCATGTACTGGGGAGGAGGGGCAAATGGATGGGTAGTTCATAAAGTTTAGTATTCATTTTTAAAGTAAATAAATGGTTGTTAACTGCTAGTAACCAGCTACCAAAAGAGAATTATTACACTAATATGGACAATTTATGTCGCCAAAGAGTTGCCAGTGGCTCCAAATCTGAAATTTAAACAAGCCCATATATGGGGTGGGGGCGGGGTGGGGCGGAGGGCGCTGCCGCGCGGAGGCGGCTGACTGCCGAGCTTCGCTCTGTCTGCGCATCCACGTGTTTAGAAACAAGGCCCAATAAACAAAAGGTGAGAATGCGCGCTGCGCTCCAGCAGGTGAGTCAGTCAATCACACGTCACCTAGTAAACCCAACCCACAGCTGGTTTCTCTTTTCAAATAGAAAATAGAATTGTTCAGGGCGGGTTTATAGGGTGACATGGGCCTGAAAGTCAGACTTGAGTTTAAGGCGCTCTCCTCTGACCCATCCTTTGTTTACAAAGCAATCACTCCTAAAAGGATGATTCTTTTAAAAGGAGAATTTGCCTTAATTAAAATATTTGTATATTTCCCTTAGCTTTGGGAAGCACTTTTTATAGCAGCAATTTTATTTAAATAAAATTATAAGCTATTCCAGCTTAACATGTTATTTTGTACCATTTAGCTGGCTGCCATGCAGAAATTCTGTACAGCTGTTCTGGAAAATTGGTTAATAACCAGTGTTATCCAATGTGAACATAGAGAATATTTATAAAAATTAGATTTTGAAGTCTGGTCTCTTCAATTCACATAGTTAATTTCCTAATAAACATCTACTGCTCATCCTAGGTAACATTCTTAGTAAAAGACTTACCTCTGTATTTAGGTTTGACATTATGTGCAAGAAAAATTTCACTGATACTAGGTGAGGAATTCTGTTGGATGCAGCCTGAGGCTACAGTTAGTTTAGTGTCTTTGGGCCTTAAATTTGCTGATATTAGGAGTTCATTAAGTCAGCTTAAAGAAATCAGTGACTATTATCAAATAATTTACTTTTTGGTTTAAAATTTTCAAGTACAAATATGTCTGAGGGAGCTAAAATTAATTTTCCTATTTACTGCATTAATCGTTAAAAATTTGGGGGGCAGTAAACAAATTTTTCAAGCAGTGGAGTCAGCATGACAAAAATAATCTTGTTTTTATTTTAGATTCAGATTTCATTACTGCACTCAAACGTTACTACAACTGGGCTTGGCGTTATTATACAATCCAAACTGTTTCCGTCAGAAACGCTAAGACTCTGTGCAATGATTGTTATTAATAATTAGCTCCTTGGTTTCTTGATAGAAAAAGGCTATCAACAAGCATTTGTTTATCCACAACAAAAAGTATAATTAGCTTATCCCACTTAGTAAATCTTGTATGCATGCCAACTCATACCAAACTGCTACTTTTACAAAAAAAATTGCAATAATACAGT